CGGCGGCCCCCTAGCTGCTCTCCCCCGGCTTCCCCGATTCAGCTGCTGGTCAGTTTTAGCAGCGGCTGAATTGGGGAAGCTGGGGGCAGAGCAGCTCCAATGGTCCGGCTGCCCGGAGCACTTCCAGGTTCCTGATGGTGCCGGACCATCGGAGTTTTACTGTACCCTAAATTGGAGCCAAAGCATTAAGAATGTAGATTTGGGAGTTTCCAAACATGTTAATTTGACATAACCGAACTGCCTAAATTTAGAAGATGTAATTAAATATACACTGATTTAGTTCAAAGTAGTTTTTGAAGCTTTGTTTGTTTTCACAAAGCAAATAACTTTCATGTAAGATATTAATTATATTGGGTCTGATCCTTCAAGTTCTGCATAAGCATATGGGTTTGCATCAGGTCTTAAATTCTTACCTATTAAAACTTTAGAATTAAAGTGGCTACCACAAATAATTAACATGATACAACAAAAGTTTTGTTATCTGACATGTTGGGAGAGTGGTGGTGGGGGTGTGTTAGTCAGTCAAATATTCTGTTTATTTAAGAGTTCCAACTGAGGCAGTGGTACAGACCCAGGTCTGGGACCAGAAATCAGAGGTTCAGAGTGCAGGAAGGGGATCCGGAATGGGGCAGGGGATTGTTATAGGAGATGACGGCTCTGGCTGGGGGTCAGGGATGAGGGGTTTAGAGTACAGGAAGGGGTTTCAGGATGGGGCCAAGGGGTTTGGCATACAGGAGGAGATATGAGGTTCAGGAGGGAGTGTGGGGGTGTGTGTATGGGGGGGATGGGTCAGACCTGGAATTTGTATGTGGGAGGGGTTTGAGTGCTTCATCTGGACAACATATCTTGGGCAGCTCCCAGAGAGTGGCATCAGCCTTCCCCCGCCCACCTCCCCCTTGGGTCCTCAGTACTATCAGGGACTGATCTTGCTGGTGCAATCTAGGGATATTAAAATGTTTAATTAAGGAACTGTAACAGCTGAAATTTTCATTGGTTACATAGTTACATGTGAGGTGGCATTCGGCTCCCACCTGTTCCTCCTGGAGCCCTCCGCTGTTGCCTCAGATACAGAGGGAGAAGTGCAGGGCAGCAGGCAGCTCCCTGGAAAGTAGTGCGTGTCGGGTGCCTGCATGTAACCATGAAGGTCAACTGATATCACAGTTAACACTTTCACCATCTCTAGTGTTACCCATCTCATCCTTCTGTCCTGGGGGAGGAATGTGTGGTACTAGCCACAGTGGTGTTGCCAAACTGGATGTGTCAGCCTCTATCCCTGAGGACTATAAAGTGTTCTAGGATGTTTAGGGTGGAAGCTGCAGCCCTGGAAATACCCACCAAGGAGATTTGGGACATGCTGCACAAGGTTCTTGACATCCATCACTCCTATATCTCCTTTGATGTATGCATTTTGTTCTTCCTGGATAGGACTAAATCCTTCCAAATTTTGCCCAGATTAATCCTGGTCTATGCTGAGGGACTTAAAAGGCCAGGCCATATCTCACAGAGAATATCAGTCTGGTTTGTTCAGTGTATCTGGACATGTTTACAGTTAGTTTATCTGTAGCCACCCAACAAGGTGCAAGCACACTCCAGTTGGGCCCATACTGTCAATATGGCGTTGCTGCCGAACTTCCCCATTCAGACTTTTCAAGGAAGCAACCTTAAACCTCAGTGCACGCTTTTGTTGATAATTTCTATAGTCTGCTCCTTGACCATGGTTTTGGTTAGTTTATGAAATATGTTCACGAGATCAAATAACCAATGTCATTCATGTTTATTGCTCTAAGTCAATAATGTAAAGAGAAGAAGTTTTCTATACCATGGCTGGGCAATAAGTGCCAAATGCACATTCCCGGCCAAAGGGAGCTGCGGGAAGTGGTGTCCCAGTCCACACTTCTTTCCACAGTTCCCATTGGCCAGAAATGGAGATTTGCAGCCAATGGGAGCTGCAAATGGCCACACTTGCATATGCGCAAGTAATTAGAGTGGGCCGCTTACTGCCCACCCCTTTATGTTATCTGTCCCTGGGAAGTCATCTTGTGCAGTGATATAACATGCTCCTTATGTGGAAAATGTGCTCACAGAGTTAGATATTTCCGATGGCAGTATTTGTATGATAATTTACAGGTTACATATATCTTTTACACATCACTAAGGGTATGTCTACACTGCATGGGTATTTCAGGATATTAGAGGCATCCTGAAATAGCTACCCCGCGTTTACACAAGCCACCCGTTATTTCAAAATATTTTTCGAAATAATGGGCGTGCTATTTTATCCCGGTAAACCTCATTGCACGAGGGATAAGGGATGGCTCAAAATAGCAAATTATTTTGAAATTTGGTGCTGTGTAGATGTGCCAAATTTCAAAAAAAGCTACTTCAAAATAGTCGAGATAAGATACGCAATTTGCGTATATTATTTCGAGTTTAGGGTGCTGTGTTGTAGATGCACCATAAAATCCAACCCATTAATTTGCTCCAATTCCTAACCTGTTTTATTTCTTTTCTTTTGTTTTGATACAGTAATTCCTCATTTAACACTATAGATATAGTCCAGAAAATGATCGTGTTAAGTGAAAACATGTTATGCGGGGTCAATTTTCCCATTGAAAATAATGGAAAAGGTTGGGGTTGCGTTTCAAGCAGTGGTGTCTGTTGGGACCGGGACATAAGGTTGGGGGAGAAAGGGAACTGGATTACAGCAAGGAGGGGAAGTGTTTGGCTCTGGGGAAGGGAAAGGGGAGGAGAGGGGAGAGGGATTGAGTTAGGAGTATGCCCCTATGACAGGTCTGCTGGAACCCGCACTGCGTCCGGCGAGGGGGGGGGTCTCCGGGGAACAGGAGAGGGATTGAGTTAGGAGTATGCCCCTATGACAGGTCTGCTGGAACCCGCACTGCGTCCGGCGAGGGGGGGGGTCTCCGGGGAACAGGCGTGGCAAGCGGTGAACCCTCCGCCGCTTTGCAGGGAGGCAGGTGAAACCCCGCACGGCTGCCGGCAATGGGCCGGCTGGGGAAATTGTGTTATTCCGGGGACGGTCGTGTAATTTAAAAAAATGTTCCTTAAAAAAAAATCGTGCTATTGTGAAAACATGTTAAGCAGGCATGTGTTAAATGAGGAATTACTGTACTAGCATTCCTGGTACCGGTCCATGAAGGTGCTTCCCTAAATTCCACTAAGCCATGGAAATAATATAATTTGATTTTTGACAAGTTTTTATCTGCTTATGCCAAATGCTTGCTTGAGGAAAATGCAAGCTCAGGTATTGCACAATACTTAGCTTAAATGAACAGGGTCATCAGAGAGATCAGTTTTGGCTACATCACTTTTGCGATATTTGTGCTCATTTGCAGAGTGAGTTGAGGCATCTCATAACAGCTGTCTCGAGCCCATCTTCTTTAGCTCGATGGAGCCTGAACAAATCTTCCAAGTTGTATCTTCCTTTGTGGATCTGGTGTGCACATAGTACTATCATGTATGCCTTATCCACACCCTCATCTTGGAATTCCTTCATGCAAGTGTGCCTATCAGATCACATATCTATTTGCTCTGGACTGGTTCTGCTCCTTAAAATGGTATATAAGTTTACTATGAACTGGTTAATTATAATTGGATAGTAAATGACTGACATGTCATTTGAAATATTACTTTTAAAGAGTAGTGAAAACTGTAAGTATTTTTATTTTAACAATCTTTTGGATTTTTAATGATTATTTGCAAAGAAAAATTCTGCACATTTGATAAGTATTTACAGCCTTTTGTGTGTTTGTTTTTATACAGATTCTAATAAAAATGCTTTGAATTACAGGCGTAGAGACAGAGCACATAGAGAAATAAAGAACATTTTCTATAAAGTAATCCAAAAACGCAGGCAGTCTGGGGAGAGGGAGGATGACATGCTCCAAACATTGATGGATGTTACCTATAAGTAAGTGAAATTGTTGAATGCTTGCCGTTCAGAAGTGTAAAGAGGAACAGCTTAGTATTTTAATAGCAGAGGCTTCATTTATCAAAATTTTCCAAGTCCTTGCATTATTTTCATCACCCATTCCACCCTTCTCATATCTATTCTTTGGGATTTGTCTTTCTCTCCTCTTATGCAACTTTCTCTAGGTTTTTGGGGAGAACACCTCTTTCCATGCCATTGTGATGAGGATGTGTGGAATTTAAGCCTTTTTACTACCTCCCTCTAGCGGCTGAAGGATTTCAAAAGCTTCAGGGGGTAGCTGAGTTAGTCTATACAGGATAAACTTAAAAAACAACAAATAGTCTGGTAGTACATTAAAGACTAACAAAACATGTAGATGGTATCATGAGCTTTTGTGGGCACAGCCCACTTCTTCAGATGACCAGAGTGTTGGACGTCCAACACTGGTCATCTGAAGAAGTGGGCTGTGCCCACGAAAGCTCATGATACCATCTACATGTTTTGTTAGTCTTTAAAGTACTACCAGACTATTTGAAGGTTTTCAGTTTGAATAGGTGCAGACTGTGTGAAGCATCAGAACTGTCGATTTCTTAAAATCAAGATTTGATTTTAAAATAGACAGAAAAATCAGACTAAAATAAAATAAAAGTTTTGCATAACATATTCCATCTGAATACAGTGCAATGCTAAGGGAGGTTGGCTTCCTTATCTTAATTATAGAGAAGATGTTTCATGGCTAAAAAACAAATCCCTTCCCTCCTATCATAGGCAGCCTGAAAGCCTTGTTTTCCATGTCACTCAGCCTACTTACTGATTCTTAGGATAAGGAACTCTAATTCCTCTAGATGAAGTCACCTCAACCTTTCCATAATGCAAATTTGACCAGGGGTCTCTTCCAGAGATGATATGCCACAGTTGGTTTGGTGATCCCGAAGCCAGTAACGTTGTCTTCTAGTCATCTCTGGAAAGCTCCCCAGTCATCTTCTCTTTAAGAGCCCTCTTGAGAGTTCAATTTCTGAATATTAGTCAAAGGGATTTTTTAAAAATTAGCATTTCCATTACGTGCTGCTGCAGTTAGTACCCCTGCTGCATTAAGGATGTTAAATTTAGATGAATGGACGCTTGCTATGTTTCAAAGGTGGAAGCACCGCAGGGTGCATGGGGCCAGTGGAGGACTCAAGCAGTCCCCCTGTACGCTCCCTGCGCTCCCTTTTTTTGAAATGTATTGCTTTGAGTCCTCCACTGGCCCCATGCGCCCTGCTACATTTTAAAGGCAGAAGCGCTGCCAGTTCCCTGCTGCACCTCTGCCCCTCCGCACAGACACAGTGATGGGGGCAACCAGCTTTTGAGCCTGCTTCCCTGCCCCCTTGCTGCCTTTCTTTGAGAGAGGCTCCAAGGGGGGAGGGTGGGCTGCGACTATTTGACTCAACTGTCTGATAAGCATATGCTTATTGGATAGTCGACTACTCGCTAACATCCCTGCGCTGCATGCCTCCAATTTCTCTGTTGCCCTCAAATAGCTTTTGAAACCTTTCAGCAGTTTCTCTTACTGTGAAATATATATTGATAGTTCTCACACCTCTGTTCTCTATAGAAAGAGAAAAAAACCTGTTCATTGATGAGTCAATAAAAAAATAGATATTAGACTTCAGTGTGGACTTCCCAGGTTCATTACTAGCTATGTTTTAAGTTTAGATCCAAAAGTTTGGAGGTAATTTGTTACAGATGCTTAGCCAAGTTTTGGAGGCTTTCCAGCAGCTGTCAGAGAACTATTGCTTTTCTGTATTATGGCAACCCTTCTCTCTAGCTCCTTGCTATGTCATCTCTCTTCTTTCCTCTGAATCTGCTGCTCCTCTTAACTGGAGGGAAGGGGAAAAACACTTAATGTAAATGTAACTACGGTCAAATACTTAACATGGTGTATGACATTCTATCTGGATATCTAAAGCTTGAATCTATTTATTTTCTTAATCTAGGCCAGCACCAGTGCTTGGCTTGGCTTTTTTTTAGCAAGAGACAAATCGATACAGGAACAATGCTATGCAGAACAGAAAGCAGTTGGTGGAGAAGACTTGAAGCCTCTAAATTATGAGCAGGTGTGTGTTACATAACTCTTCCATGCTACCTTTAAATTTTTGCAAATTAATTTATAAAAGTGTTTAAGCTGTTAATTAAATACTCTTGCAATTACAGCATCTCTGCCAAAAATATGTTAATGCTCATGTCTTTGAGCTTGTAGCAGAGAGGAAGCTGTTTTAGTCTATATCTGCAAAAACCTTGCAAGGAGTCCTGTTGCACCCTAAAAACTAGCAGATTTATTTGAGCATAAGCTTTTGTTAGCAAAAACTCTCACTTTGTTAGATGCATAGAGTGGAAATTAGATATTTGTGTCCTTTTCTTCTTTTGTGTGCAGCTTGTAGTTCAGTCTCTACACAAAAGAAGAAATGGATAAAAAGCAGACCTCAAGAACAGTAACATACAAAAAACAGCGAACACTTGGACACTCAGTAACAGATTGAAAAGTGGCCATCCTTCAACTAAAAAAATCTTCAAAAACAGACTTCAAGGAGAAAGTGCAGAGCTGCAATTCATTTGTAAACTTAACACTATTAATCTGGCTCGGAGGGTTAGCTGTGTAAGTCTGTAACTAAAAAAATCTTAAAACACAACAATGGTCCTGTAGCACCTTAGAGACTAACCAAAATACTATTTATATATCATAAGCTTTTGTGGGCACTACCCACTTCTTCAGATGACAAACATCTGAAGAAGTGGGTTGTGGTCACAAAAGTTCATGATGCTATTTTTGTGTTTTGGTAAGTCTCTAAGGTTTTTGCGGAAGAAGCTATGTATTTGCATATCTTCTTCCGATTCTTTTTGCATAAGACGTTTTGCCATTGTGTGGCCCTGTGTAGACGAGGCCAAATGTCGGAAAAAACCCCTCTTTCACAAGACCCTGTAAACAACGATTTATGAGGAAAAGGGGTCTTGCAAAAGAGGTGTTTTTCTCCAACATTTGGCCCCGTCTATATGGGGCCAAATAGAGGCAAAACCTCTTCCACAAAAAGAATCGGAAGAAGATATGCAAATGCGAGCGTGATTTATATAGCTTCTTCCGCCAAAAAAAGGCAGTGTAGCTGTAACTTAAGGTGCTACGAGACCATTGTTGTGTTAAGTTTTTTCACTATTAATCTGAGTTTGAATAGGGACTGAGACTGGGTGGCTCACTATAAAATCAATTTTTCCTCTTTTTATATTCACACCTCCTCATCAACTTGTAAGGAGTGGGCCGCATCCACCCTAACCCAATAGGCATTGTTAGCATTGATCTTCCACTTGATAAGGTAACTCCTTTCCTTTCATATGCTAGTATATTTATGTCTTGCCTCTAATTTCTACTCCATGTATCTGACAGTGTTTTTTTGCCTACAAAAAGCTTGTGCCCAAATAAATCTATTACTCCTTAAGGTGCCACAGGACTCCTTGTTATCTTTGAACTCGGAGAATGAAAACAAGTTTTGGTGGTAATTTGTAATATCACAGACTAGATAATTAATTTTAATAAAAGATTCCAGTAAATGAAGAGCAGGAACGGTATCTAGTGAAGGATATATTTGGAATTATGTATTTAAAATAGGAGCATGAGTTTCCAGATGTAAAGACACTGCTTTATGAATGTTAAATATTCTTAAATCCATAAGAAAATGGATAAAGTTTACTGTACAGGCAGTCCCCCGGGTTACATCAATCTGTCTTAAGTCGGATCCCTAGTTACGAATGGGGAGGGAGAGGAGCGCAGCTAGTGCGGGGTGCCTCCCCCACTGTTGCTGCTTCCCGCCCCCCCCAGCAGACCAGGGAGACGCGGAGCGGCTTTTCTTGCCACGGAGGACGCGGGCGGCGGGACCGCCGAGACGCGCTGTGGTCCCGCCGCCCATGTCCTCCGTGGAGAGAAAAGCCGCTCCGCGTCTCCCTGGTCTGTTAGCGCTATGAGACCAACCCGGCAGCACCCCAACTGCTCTGCTCCCAGCTTCCCCGATTCAGCTGCTGGTCAGTTTCAGCAGCAGGTGAATGGGGGAAGCCTGTCTGGCTGCCCCAGCACTTCTGGGTTCCTGATGGTGCCGGACCATCAGGAGTCCCGGAGCATTGGATGCCGGACTAATGGAGTTTTACTGTATCTTGTTAGCGTCACGTGAAATTAACAAGTCCCTTCCAGCCTGGCAGAGGTGAAGCTGAAAAATTACCCAGTGGTGTGGGTGGGCAAGAACGGGGAGAAGCAGGACAGAAAGGAAGAGGGGATAAGCCCCAACCCCACAACGTGGCTGGAGCGGAGCAGGGTAAGCCCCAAGGGGATGGGTCTGGTTGCAAAGTAGGTGAGTGGACAATGAGGACCCACCTGTGGCTAAACTCCTGTTCCCAACACAGAATTTTTCTTTAAAATTGATCCTGTGGATAAATTCTCTCACACACCTCACAGGAAGGGATTTCCATTTTCTGCTCAGCAGAATACAACAGCTTTGATTGTATCAATATTTCACTGTGCTCTGCAATGACTATTGATTACACTTAATACCCATTTCACTGAACCATCTGTAGCAAATTCTATTTGGAACAGTAATATGCATTGAATAAACTTTTTTTAGTTATAAAAAAACAAAGATTCTGACTATTAAATGAATAACTGGGATCTTTCAGGTACCCCAAAAGGAAGATTTGGATATAGCATGAAACACTGAAACTTATGATCAATTTTTAATTAAAATATCAACCAAAAAAACCTTCATATCAAAACAGTATGTGTTTTTCTTAGAGGCCAGCATGCTGTGCCTACCCCCCCCCCAACTCCCCCCCCCCCCCCCCCCCCCCCCCCCCAAAATATGTACCAGTTCCGACTTACATACAAATTTAACTTAAGAACAAACCTACCGTCCCTATCTTGTTCGTAACCCGGGGACTGCCTGTATTTGCAGCTGAAGGATCTGAACATGCTGGACCGCTGTCTAAAAGAAACTTTAAGGCTGAGACCTCCTATTATGACCATGATGAGAATGGCCAGAACTCCCCAGGTGAGCATGTTTGTTGACTCTATCTTGATCAGTGCTGTGACTAATGTAAATTAATTGTAACTCTGTAGTAGATAGGGAATGACACGGTCAGGCTACATTTACACCGCAACATTTTTTTGCGCAAAAACTCGTGGAGTGTCCGCACTTCAAGCGCATTTGCGCAAGTAAATTTACAGTGACTCAACAGAACAGAGAGGATTTTGTGGTATAGGGACTCCTCTTTCTACGATGAATAACTCCTTTTTGCACAAGAGCTCTGTGTGGATGGGAAACGGGTTTTTTTGCACACAAACAGCCTATCGAAGCACAGCTGTCCTGGTGTCCATTCTGTTAATGGCAATCAGAGGTTTATTGTGAGCTAGTGTCCATGCAGTCTGGATGTTCTCTTGAGCAAAAGTGCATTGCTTTTCCGATGCGGTTTTGCGTTGTGGATGTGCTCTTGTGCAAAAAGTTTTTGCAGAAGATCTCTTCCACAAAAGGCTTCTTGCGCAAGAATCCTGCAATGTAGACATAGCCTCATAAAGGATACAATCCAAACTAGGTTTGCAATTTAGCAGATGTGCCACCAACAATGAGATTAATAAATTGTGTCTAGAGCTACACAGTTTGCAAGATTAATTAACAGAGAATAGGAGGACTGGAATATGATGGTTTGAGCTTATTTCTCTCAGACCAGGGAAAATGCAGAGTTTAGGAGAGAAGTAGTGGTATTTTGTATCTCCACAAATCACTGATCTGTGGGTCTGTTATGCACTTTCCTTGTCAGGACATAAAGGTCAGGATTTCCCCTGGCCTTGACACTTGTGAACATGATGTAATGTTTTTTTGTACTATGTTATTTGTCAGTAAACGAATCTTGCTTCCTCCTGAAGGGCCTTCTCTCTCATGTTAATACTTGTTCCTTTGTACTTTTTGGAAAACACATTGCTATTTAATATCTAGTGTGAAATTTCATCTCGTCTCATTGTCTTAGTTTGATTTGCAGTTGTTTCTTAACTGTTAGTACTTTACTCTCCTTACCTGATACTCATCACATATGCCTCAACATAGGTTGAGCACTGATTTCAGCTGACTTGTAAATGAGATCCTATATGACACTTGATATTAAGCAGTCTGATTCTCTCCTTTTATTTCCCTTTGAGCATAAACAACAATTTAAAAAAATCTCGCTACATTAGGGACCATGTACACAGTTAACCAATGAGTCTGGGCTCATCAGTTACATGCTGGCTCCTGGTATGAGCATTGTATGCATTGGCTCCTGGGGAGTCCAGGTGGGAGTCGGTATGTGCAGGGAGCCACTTTCCGCTCTATGCTTCTGCCACCATAGGAGAAGCAGCAGGGCGGAGGAGGGCAGGCTGGAGCATGTTTGTGTGGGGAGCCAGCTTTTAAGGCTACTTAAGTACATTCATTTTAATATCTCTACTCTAGAGTGTGTGTGTGTGTGTGTGTGTGTGTGTGTGTGTGTGTGTGTGTGTGTGTGAGAGAGAGAGACACACTGATGTTGGTTTGGAATATGGACTGGATTTTGGTCAATAAATATTCTTAACTGCTGTTTTATGATATACACCAGTGGTCTCCAACCTTTTTACACCCAAGATCACTTTAAATGACAGAAGCATCCAACATCTACTGCCCCGCCCCCTCTATTCTCCTCCTCTCCATCACTTGCTATCCCCAACCCTTAAACTGCTGCTTTTTTTTCTCCCTCAATTCTTCTGTAGGAAGAGGTTTTTCCAACATTTGGCCTGTCTAGACTGGACCAAATGTCAGAAAAAACCCTTCTTTTGGAAGCCTCCTTATTCCTTGTGGAAAGAGGAATATAGTGGTGACCGAAAGAGCATGTTTGCTCTTCCACTAAAAGAAGTGGAAGAACAAACACATACCTGGATGCAGAAGAGTTTTTCTGGGATATCTCTAAAATCCTGAAAAACTCCCACAGTCTATCCGTACCCTTGCTGGGTTGAGACAGGATGTGTAGGCTCTGGGGTGGGATTTGGGTGTGGGAAGGGGTGAGAGGTGCAAGCTCTGCGAGGAAATCTGGATGCAGGAGGAGGTGGAGAAAGGGAACGCTGGCTCGGGGAGGGGGCTCCAGGCCAGGCAATGTTGGGGTCAGATGTAGGGTTAGGGTACTAAGCAAGCCACAGACTTCTGGATGTGAGG